TGGAATTGCCTCTTTCCTTTTCAAATAGTAATTACAAAAAAAAAAAAAAAAAAAAAAGCAAATACAGGCAGTCCCTGGGTTATGAACAAGATCCCTTCCTAAGTGTGTCTTTGTGTTGAATTTGGACGTAAGTTGGAATAGGTACATCTGAGTCTTATTTAGCCTTACCTTAGTGCAAGAATGGGGCCCTGGTAGCATAGTGGTTAAAGAGATCGGCTGCTAACCAAAAGGTCAGCAGCTCGAACCCACCAGCTGTTCTTTGGAAACCCTAGGGGGCAGTTCTACTCTGTCTTATAAGGTCGCCATGAATCGGGACCAACTCGATGGCAGTGGGTTTGGTTTGGTTTTTAGTGCAAGAAGGAGCCCGGGTGGCACAGTGGTTAAGAGCTCGTCTGCTAACTAAAAGGTCAGCAGTTTGAATCCACCAGCCACTCCTTGGAAACCCTGTGGGGCAGTTCTACTCTGTCCTATAGGGTCGCTATGACAGCAGTGGGTTTTAGTGCAAGAAAAGGCCCAATCTCCGCATTTCACAGATGAGGAAACTGAGAAACGATTTTTCTAAAGTTACATGGCTAGTGGTTTATGATATGAATTGTGAATCTTCAAAATTCTCTCATCCTGTTTCAGTGGGTTTTGGTCTTCTTTGGCTCTTTAGTTACAAACTCTATTTTAGGTCATTCAAGAAGCCCAAGCGAAGGACCTGCTGAGAAGACCGTTTGATTTAATGTTGGTGGCGTGTCTCCTCCTGGCAACTGCATTTTGCCTGTTTAGAGGCTTGGTAAGCATTACAGATCAAAGTAACATTAACTTCAAATTATTCTATTACTAAGGCTTTGAAATGGAAAAAAAAAAATGGAAGTATCTTTTTATTGGACTTCCTAGCACACTAACAAAGTATTCCCCGTCAAAGCCTGGAGCACTCGGACCTGCTTCCTGTGGCTCTCCCACCCGCAACCCCCAGCTCCCAAGAGGGACAGTCTATCCTGGGTTTCTTCACACCACCTGCCTTCATGTCCTTAAACCAAGCTCTACCCAGAAGTATTCTCCTTTCCCTATTTTGGAGTCCCTAGGTGGTACAAATGGTTAAGTGCTGGGCTACTAACCAAAAGATTGGAAGCTCGAACCCACCTAGAGATGCCTTGGAAGAAAGGCCTGGTGATCCGCTCCCAAAAGGTCACAGCCTTGAAAACCCTATGGAGCACAGTTCTACTCTGCAACACACGGGGTCACCAGTCGAAAATGACTCAGCAACACTCAGAACAACAACATGTTTCTGATGGAGCCCCCAGGTGGTGCAAACGATTAACATACTCAGCTGTTAACTGAAAGGTTGGTGGTTTGAGTCCGCCTAGATGTGCCTTGGGTGAAAGACCTGGTGATCCTGGTGATCGGCTTCCAAAAACTCAGCTGTTGCAAATCCTCTGGAGCTTCTACTCTTGACACACGAGGTCGCTATGAGTCAGAATTGACTCGCCGGCAACTGGTTTTCCCTATTTGAGAGTCTCATTCATTTGATTCCTTTGATGTTTCCGATGATCTTTGGTAGTGGTTATACCCTAAAGCTCCAGTAAAGCTGTGGTACAGAGCACTTCTGGGTTCTGAGGAGTAGGGTGGATGGTATTGAGGAAGGGGTGCGATAAACAATTCACAAATTGGTAGGGTCATGTGAATTTCTCACTGGTAAAGTGAATAATAATTAAGACCAGACCTGGAGTCTGTGTGTTGATGGGACTGATATACATTAAGAGCATGTGGGCATTTCATTTTTTCCATTTTCTCTTTTTCAGTATTATACTGTAGAGATGAACAAAAAGATCCACAAACTTTGGAGTTAGAATCCTGGCCATTTAGTAGCTGTGTGGCCTTGGAAAAGTTACTAAATCTCTTTGACCCTCAGTGTCCTCCTCCATAAAATAATAACAGTACCTACCTTATAGGTTTGTTTTGAAGATCAAATGAGATAATGCATGTAAAACACTAGCAGAGGGCCTTATACTAGTAAGTGCTCAGTAAATGATTGCTGTTACCATTTTTATTGATCAGTGATCCTTCACAATGCCCCAGTTTCCTGATTTATTCTTTATAGAAATAAAATGGAGCAGCTCAGGTTATGTGGCTAATTATACCCAGCTTCAATGACAATTACTAACACTTCTGAGCCTGCTGGCACTGCACGACAGCTGGGGGCAGGGTGGCATACATGCTTCGTGTGGGAGGGGCTTTTGCAGATGGGCTTTTGGGTTGGGGCCCTTTTGGTCAGCTCTGCCATTGGTCTGGGTTCAGATATGTTATCTAGGTGGGACACCATTTATGGCCAAGGACATGAGCAATGCTGCCTGAGGAGGGGGAAGGTGGCTCAGAGGGGACCAGTGATGTGCCAAACTGAGGCTGCCTGTTCTGTGGCCCAAGGTCTACTCCTCGTGACTAAACCTGCTCTGCTCTCTTTCAAAGTGGACACAGGAGGTGGCTTCAGACAAGAGGACCCTGCTTCCATATCATCATCCTCTACTGCCCCAAAGGCCATATACTCTGTGAGCCATTGGAGAGAGGAGGATGCTATTTCTGAATCTTGCAAAGCATAGTTAAGATGCATTTGGTGTAGAAATGTACTTTTCTTCCTGTAGGGAGTAGTCTGCTAGAGTTATTCCCAGGAAAAGTGAAACTGGTAGTCTAAAGCAGGCTGTGCCTTGGCTACCTAGATACTCGAAAGGACCCTGAGAATACAGCATTAGTTTCCATTTCCTGCTCCACGATTAACCTCTGCTTAATCTCCTAGAGTAAACCTGTAGAGTGTTTCCTTTCTTTCCCTCGTTCACTGATGAGCTTTTACAATGCATTGTTTTTGTTAAATAGCAAAGCTGCTTGTGACTAAACCCGGCACATTGAGCCTTATCAACACATATAAGAACCAGATGTGACTGTATTTATAATGAATTCACTTTTGTTCTTAGATTGCTTTGGATTGCCCGGCTGAGCTCTGCCGATTATATACGCAATTTCAAGAGCCCTACCTAAAGGATCCAGCTGCTTATCCTAAAATTCAGGTCAATAGTCATGAAGCCTAAGCTTTTTCTAAAATTTAATTTTTTCTTTTTTTTATGGGAAAATGTGGTCCCATGTAGGAAATAGGAATTAACAGTTTCAAAAATGAAAATGTCAGTATTTTTGTATTTTTTAGTCAGGCCAAATTAACTGTTAATTTGCTGATTGATGGTGTTATTTCTCTGTTCTAATACAGATGCTGGCATATATGTTCTATTCTGTCCCTTACTTTGTGATTGCACTTTATGGCTTAGTGGTTCCTGGGTGTTCCTGGATGCCTGACGTAACCCTGATACATGCTGGAGGTCTAGCGCAGGTATTCAGAATATTCTTTATTGAGAAGGTTTACTGTTGGTCTAGCTGTCATTGCTGGATACGTGACAAATATCTATTCGCACTGTCTTAGGGTTGTTAATTGTTGTGTGCTGTCGAGTCGATTCCGACTCATAGCGACCCTATAGGACAAGAGTAGAACTGCCCCATGGGTTTCCTAGGCTGTAATCTTTATGAGAGCAGATTGCCATGGAGCGGCTGGTGGGGTTCTAACCGTGGACCTTTCAGTTAGCAGCTGAGCGCTTACCCATTGCGCCACGAGGGCTCCTCATTTTAGAGCAGGAAATAATTATTAAGCATGCTGTCCCCCTTTGTCTTACAGTTCTTTATAGTACATAAGGCATTTCTGCATATCCATTTTATTAAAGCCTCACAGTAACTATCTGGTAGGAGCGCCATCCAGTTTTACTGATGAGAAACAGGTCCAGAGAGGTTAAATGATTTGTTCAAGGTCACATGCCCAGGGAGCGGCACTGTTGTTCTGCAGGACCCTTCCCAGTCTCTGAACACCTCGGCTACAGGAAACAGGTCGATAGCTGTTATCTTTGAGATGTCTGTCTAAATTTAAGATTTTAGAATTCCACTATATTATGGTATATAGAACCAGGGAAACTGGCTTTAAAAAAAAAAGCAGCGCCTGTCATTTAATCCCCACCGACCCCCACCCCCGGCACCTTAGCCATATACCTGGCCTAGAGTAGGTGTTCAGTGAATGCTTACCACATTGAACTGAAAAGAAAATTACCTATGGAATATTATTACACAGAGTACGTTTTACAAGGTAACAATTAGCAAAGCAAATCGATTTTTTGACAAAGGGAATTAAGTAATTCTCTCTATACATTTTTTCTTACTAGAAATAAAAAACAAACGGACTCATCTTTTTAAATCATGATCTTCATCTTGCTCTTGTCAAGCAGGTTTAAGAATGAGGGTCACCCAAAAACTCTAGGCATTAGCGGTTGATTATACTCATGTATACTAACCATGATGGCAAAAAGACACTGGAATTTATAGGATTGGAAAACAATTACCGTGTTTATGGGGTTACTGGATCAACTCTTTCCAGTCCGAAGTACTTCTAAATTGTAGAATTAGAATATTAACATAAAAGTTGATGCCGTGTCCAAAGCAATGGCTCCTTTCTGTAAGGACTTAAGAGGAAAGAGAGTGAACATTTAGCCCCCTTTGCTGGTTGCTCTCCTTTATAGACCCTGGAATACCTGAATTCCTCAGGCCTTGGTTTTAGGTCCTTATTTGTTTCCATATCTACGGAGCCCTGGTGGCGCAGTAGTTAAGTGCTCAGCTGCTAACCAAAAGGTCGGTGGTTTGAACCCACCAGCTGCTCTGTGGCAGAAAGATGTGGCAGTCTGCTTCCATAAAGATTACAGCCTTGGAAACCTATGGGGCAGTTCTACTGTGTTCTATAGGGTCGCTATGAGTCAAAATCGACTAGACAGCAATAAATATTAAATAAATATTAACTATAAGCTAATGGCTTCCAGTTTTCTGTTTTTAGCCCAAACAGCTCCCAGATTTACTTCCAAACTTAATTTTTTTCACTTGGAGGTCTCACTACCATCTCAGAGTTAATATCTAAAATAGGGCTCTTGATTCCCCCACTTCTCTTCCATTTTTCTCTTCCTCTTGCACCCAGCAGCTCAAGCCCAAAACTTGGGAGTAATTCTTCACACCTCCTGTTCCCTCACCCCCTATGCCTCCTATGATTCATTAGTTCTACCTTCAGGATAATTCTCACATCCTTTTTTTCCCAGTTCTACTGCCACTACTCTAGTCTGAGCTCTCATAATCTTCCTCCGTGCCAAGCAAGTGATGCCTATTTGTGTAAGGAAAGGCTATGTGCTCTGCTGCTGTAACAGATAAAGCTTTAGTTCTTGCTCATGCAGAGCTCATGTGGGATATTTTCAAGGGCGGGGCCAGGCACCAACCCGACTGCAAGTAGGCTGGGAAATTCCTGTGTGCCTTAGAAGAGGAAACTGGGTGGTGAATGCATTGCATTATCTTTACCACAGTTGTTTTCCACCCCCATTTTACAGATGATGAAGCTGGGGCTCGGGACAGCCTCTTACCTGACCAAGGTTGCATAGTTACTAAATGACAGAACAGGGGTATGAAATCCTGTCTGAGTGCAAAGCCCATGCCCTTCTGCACTGTGTTATCTCCCTCTCATGCAGGTAACTTGCTATAGCACGGAGTCCTACAGTAAGACTGTGTACATGGCATGGGGGAAGAGTTGGAGAACCTTGGGGGCGGGCGCTGACATCTGAGCTGGTCTCTGAGGGCTGAGTGGGTTTTCTTAGGCTGAGCCTCTCCAGGGAACAGTATGAGGAGGAAGCATTTAGGTGTGGGAATGGGCAGCAGATCAGGGGACACCGACTAAGCCCTGGCTTTTGTTTTTTGTCCTAGCTCTCCTGTGTCCTCCAGGACTGGGGCCCTCACACTCACCCCACTCTTACTCAGTCCCTTTTTTTAGAGGATAAGATTGCTCAGAGTTAAGATTTGGGAAGGTATTAGCTTGGAGCAAACAGGTGCTTGAGCCTGTAGCAGTAAGACTAATGTCAGACTCTACCTTTTGGTGGGGCTAAGCTTGCAGATGGGCACCTGTGACTCCAGCTGGGAGGTTCTGGGAAGGGCAGAATGGAATGCAGAGCCATTGGCAGCAAAAGTGAGTGCTTCAGGCAGGCCCCAGGCCTTGTAGGAATCCTTAGGCTTATCCATCATTGCTCAGTTTGACAAGGTAGCCTGAAGCCCCTCTCTTGCTGGTAAGTGCGTGCCCAGATGAAGGATTAGATCCTGGAAATGTCAGAGGATATTTTTCCCACGCCCGGAGGTGGAGAATGGCATATTCAGAGAGTTATATGTCTGACAATCCCATAGCTCTTTGCTGGACTTTAGTATTTATCTATTCGTAGCGTTTAACCTAAGGAAAAGTTAGAAATCACGTTGCCACAAAACCGTGCATACGATCAGAATGTTGAATTCCAGCTACATGATTTGTTTTCTCCTTACCAAATAACTGCTTATGAAAATGAGTGTCATTTTAGGAAGGCATCTGACAGTCTCTCCATCACCTTGAACAGAACTGCCATCACTAATGTACGTGGTTTATGGACTGACAATCCCACTAACCTCTCTTTATCAAAACCTGCTTTTATCAAAAGATCCAGTGAACTCCTAAGAGTCTACGCTCAAGTAAGATGAAAAAAAAAATTGTTGGAAAACTACCATCAGTGCAAGTCAGTGGAAAACACGTTGGGTGGTTATGGGTCCCTGCTTTCAGACCGTACAGGAGTCTGCCAAATATTTTGCCTTTAGAAATCAAAAGATCCATCAAAAAGTAAAAGAACATAGAGTAAAATAAAACGAGGACACATTTTATGCCCGCAAGTTCCATTGGGGATGCTCAACATTCACAACCCAAGTGTCTTTTCATACAAAACCCTTACCATAGGATTAAAGTTGCAAAGTCTAATTTGAAAAATGTTACAGGCTTAGATCCATTTATTAGCATTGAATTAAAGAATTTTTCTTTGCTAAAACATCACTGAAAAATTAAAACAAAACAAAAAGACCTAGAGCCAATATGGTTAAGAGCATGGGCTCCAGAAGCAGGCTAGTTCAAGTCCCAGCTTGCCACTCATTAGCGGAATGATCTTGGTTACTTTACCTCTCTGATCCTCAGTTTCCTCTTCAGTAAAGTGGGGATAATAATAGTACCTTTCTCCTAGGGCTACTGTGAGGATTAAATGAATTAATATACGTAAAGGGCTTAGAAGAGTGCCTGGCACATAATAAGCTCTGTATTCCTTTGTTGCTGCTATTATTATTATGATTATTGTTATAATTGGAAGTATGATTTCCCAGTTAACAGTCTAGAACAGAAATACCTTACATTGCTCAGAAGATCCATTAATCTGTAGATAATTAAGCTATGTGTATAATTACCTAAAAATCAAACAAACTGGGAGAAACCTTTAAGACAGATTCACAGTGGGTTTGGCAGGGAGGCTGCCACCCCATCCAGTAACATCCCAGTCAGTGAAGCAGCATCCATTAGCACCACTAAAGGCAGGCAGCGCTCCTTCCCACTCCGTGTACTTTCACACAAAGGAGTCTAGAGGCTTATTTGTGGATAATTTGGTTGTAAAGAGCTGACTCTACTGGAGGTGAGTTTCTTAAGTTTCTGCTTTATGGAAACCTTTAAAAAATATCTGAAAGTAAAGGTTTAGGAAGAGCATGGATAATTGGGATACTAATATAAACCCCATTTTAATCATTTGCTTTTGGTGTGACTATTAGTATTAAAATTAGAGTTTGGGTTTAACTTTACTTATTATCCTTTGGTGGAGACAGTGATAGCCTTGAAATTGTCAAAAGGTCAACAAAGGCACCTAAAACCAAAGAGCCCAGGTTTACAAATAAGTAGAGAGCCAGATCATTAATAGATATTTACATCCACTGAATTGTGTATTTTTGTCTATGGAAGAGCCCCATGTACTTGGCACTAAATACCTAACATGTATCAACTCCACTTAGCCCTCATAACAACCCTATGCAGTTCCACTGTCATGCTCCTTTTCAGATGAGGCCAGAGGTTCCATCAGTAGCTCAAGGTCATACAGCTGGTTTGTGGTGGAGGTGGGATTTGACCCTAGCAACATAGTTTGAGTTGGTGTTCTTAACCACTATACTATGCTGCCCAGAAAACTTGAAGAAAAGACACCAACGTGATTCTAGATCAGATAACTAATATATTGTATGAGTCAAACAGCCTGGCTAAATGTCTTAATGTTCACATTGCTTCTTGCCTGCAGTATTTACATGGACACATAAAAACTTTCACCTCTCCCTTCTGGAGCCAGGATTGTAATTTTGGTAATCCTTTCCAGGCTGTCTCTATAAGAAAACAGACCTTAAAATGTAATCTTTTTTTCCCTTTATTGTTTCACTTTCCATTCCATTCCAATAATCTCTTCTAAAAAAATAAAGTATGTCTCTTAATTATTTAAGGTGAAAAAATTTAGAATGAACTGGAAGAAAACTTATCAGGGACTCAAGCTCACATCACTGAATCTGTAAGTTGTCCCTGTAAGCAGCAGCACTGTTCACTGGGTCACCCCAACCCCAGCAAGGGGCTCAGGATGAGCTCTTCAAACCCTGTCACAGGGAGGCCCCTGTGCTCGTGGGAACATCACCCAGGAGACACTGTGCAACCCATCATCAGTTAGGTGCTTGGAAAGGGAACCCTCCTCAGGTGAGACCTAGGTTTTTCTGCCACCTCCAAATTAAGGCCATGACACTTCAGAACTCTGAAACTTGACATCATAAGCCTTGGGAGGAAGTTACGGTTGGCTGCCCACTCAGCTGGAGGTGTGGCCACCATAAACACACCCATTAGTACTACCAGCAGTGAGGGCAACTGCGGACGACTGGCCTTAGGGTTCTTCTCTCACATGCCAACACCCTGTTGGATTAGATATGTCATAATCTGTGCCCCTTGCTAAATAATCCTGAGGAAAAAAGGCTTGCTAAAATAGATATAAAAATATAGAAATGCTTTGTAGAACCTTTGTATTTTGACAGTCACAAGACCATTACTGTTGAACGTTTATTGAGCTCTAACAACGTGGTAGGTGCCACACACAACATCAGACACAGTACCTGCCCGATGGGCTTACAGTCTAACTTAGGACAAGAACCATTTTTGAATGTTGCCATGAGTTTGCAATTCATGAAAATGAGGTATTAACTGCACTGGTTAGTGCAGGAAAAGAGCCTATGGAATCACACTGGCTTTTTAACAGGTTTCCTTGTGCAAGTAGGCACGGTTGCTCTTACTATTCTCTCAAAGTATGGCTGGCATTTTCCCAAATTTGGTGATTTTGTGATGTGTATAACCATCTATAAAGATGGAGCCAACAAACCCACATTTCTGAAAACCAGGGTTCAAACCTGGCCTTTAGTCTAGAAGAAAAAGTCTGGATATATTTTTAGGCAAACGCTGTTATTTTAAACATGCCCTAGGAAAAAACAGTGACAGGAGTAACGCTCCTATTCTGTGTTCCTAGAAGGTCCACCCCAGTGGCTCCTCAGGGCAGCCCCTCAAGTGCCCTTTACTCTCAAGGTCTTTTGTCCTCATACCCCAGATATGCAAATGCTTAGTAAGGTTTGCTGGGTTCTGTCTGGGCATCTGCCCTGGGGGAGGTGTGTCTCAGGGCAGAGGCCTCTCAGTGCCTCATGGATCACAACTCAGACGTGGTGTTGGTCCCTGGCAACATATCGCATTAATTTATAACTTCTATCTCTAGAGAGTAGAAGAAAAAGTACCAAAGGTCTCCAGAATGTATCAGTAATTTGTAAAAATACAGCTTGTTAAAATATCTGCCACTGACAAAAATTCATAAAGATGACACTTATAAAAGCTTGTCCTTTTCTTTTCATAGTAAAGTCAAGTGGTAAGTCACACTTTTATCTGTTAACCACTTAGCAGAATAAACTGATTTCATATGGAAGGAAATGTAAGATAAATTATATGTATTTAAAGCAGATTATTTGGTTCTTCATTTTTGTTCTGTGCTTTCTCTAGACTGCAATATCTTTTGTCTCTTCACTTTGATCCTGATGGACTGATAATTTACCACTTATTACATTTAAATTCCCAATCGCAAGATATGAAAATGCAGACTCTGGGGTTGCATTTTATAATGGTATAAGCATCCCGAGGAAACTCTTCTACAGAAGCCTTTAGTCCTGCTTGTGGCCTGTATTACCCTTTCTAACTGCAGTTTTCCTCTGTGCTTATGAAAAGTATTAAAAAAAGCCCAGCTGGCACATTCTGAATGTGCGTTCTGAACAAGTATACAAGTACAGAGAGGGAGGCTCTTGCCTTTTCGTTTTGCAAACTCAGATTATGCTGACGAGTCATACTTCTAAATAAATTGTAATTTGATTTGAAAAAGTTGCCTGCATGTACTTTACCATTTTATACAGAGCAAACATACCTTGTCCTCCTCCCCAAGTTGGTAACAACTTTATCTTACAAGACAACCCTTGGTATTTTTTTTGAGTTGCATTAAAAAAACAAAACAAATACATGAATTAACAAAAATACATAATGTGAAGGCTATGCGCTATCACTCTAAGAAGCAGGTAAAAGACTGATCATTGATGCCGAGGTCCTCAGTGCTTCTCTTTAGTTCGTTACACTAAAAGTTATTTCAACTTTCTGAACTCTATATTTTCTTCATTTTTACTGAAACACAACTATAAGCCTCAACTAGATCCCTATGTAGAATTTCCAGAATGCAAATCATAAAAAAAAAATTGACATTTTATTCAGATTTTTTTGTTAAATTGAGCCACTAATGTATGGAGTCCCTGGGTGGTGCAAATGGTTAATACTCTCGGCTGGTAACTGAAAGGTTGGAGGTTCAGGTCCACCCAGAGGCACCTTGAAGAAAGACCTGGTGATCTACTTCCGAAAAACCAGCCACTGAAAACCTTATGGAGCACAGTTCTACTCTGACATACACGGGGTCGCCATGAGTCAACATCAACTCCATGGCAACTGGTTTTGGTAACGTTTAGTACGGGGCACTGGAATGGTTAGAAAAACACAGATGGCATAGTAAAGCCACACTAAAGAAAGTATAATTTATTTGAACAGTTATATCAAGAATGGCTCTAAGTTCAATGAAATACTAAAGACTTTGGATTGTTTCAAAGTACTCTGCCTACAGGTGAGACTGATTCTGAGAGTGCACGAACATAGTCTGAATGATCCACTCAGAACTCGTTGTGCATCCATCTGAACACAGATTTCATGCTTACTCATTTTTGTTTTATGCAACAGGCTCAGTTTTCCCACATTGGTGCTTCTCTTCATGCTAGAACTGCTTATGTCTACAGAGTCCCCGAAGAAGCGAAAATCATTTTTTTAGTATTAAACATAGCATACGGAATTCTTCCTCAGCTTTTGGCCTATCGTTGTATCTACAAACCAGAATTCTTCATAAAAACAAAGGCAGGTGAAAAAATTGAATAAAAGCATTACTTCATGTTCCTTCTCTCTAAGTTACTGACTTTTGTGATATTGGTACTGATATTTTGTCCCATTTTACTCCCTTCCCGTATCTGTACACCTAAGAATACAGAAATTCTTGCTCTGCACTGTATATGTGAGCTGTAATTTGGTATTGTGTGGGTAAATTTTTTGTCCTTTTCTGAAGGAAAACTGAAGTTGAGAAACAGTTTCTTAAAAGAAATATATTCTAAATTATTTATAAATAAACCTGATCATCTATCTCAATACTCTTTGTACACATTAAATAACTGTTAGCGTGAAACATTAGTTTAGCTCCTACAGTAGTGAGCATGAAGATGAAATTATTCAAAGTGAATAGGGTCTGTGCATATTTAAAAATTCTAAACAGCAAATGCAGATTGAAGAATTTTTGCATATAAGTTGCATATGCTTTATTGTCAACCTCGATACAAAAAGGCAGATCATCAAAATATTTTTAAATGTTGTTTGAAAAATGTTTTCCCAAGGAAAGTATATTTACTGCTGTTTTGAAAATCACTTTTACTAATTTTTTTTTTTGTGAATTTAAATAGCTAAAGAAGGATCAATAACTTATCATTACCCTTAATGAATACTTGTTTTATTGGTGACAATATTCCTATTGTATTTCTGTGTATATTTCTAATAAAATTATTTTTTGCCTTTTATGAAGACAAATTTTATTACATTTGAAACATTTTATATACACTTTTAATGACAAGTTTTCTAGTCTTTAGGCTTTTTATTTTAAAAATCTGTCAGTTATATTTTCCAATTCAAAATATCATCTAGGTTCTCCCTATGTTTTAAGTATGAGCAACGGAGAGGTCTTTTGATGAATTCTAATATTGAAAATTAAGAAGTACTTGTTTAAGGAAAAAGAACTGGACTGGTATCCTTACTGTCTTTTTAATCAACTTTTCATATTTGGAATTGTGTATGAGTATAATAGAGAAAATCCTATTGCTAAATGAGGAAAACAAACTAAAAACAGAGCTGCCATCTCAGCGTGCCAGAGTGGAAAGTGGATGGGTGCTTTCATCCCCTCGGCTGCCAACATCAACATCACCACCATTGTCATTAATGGCCCTCGGCTTTAAGACTCTCACACTTTCTCTTCATGTTATTTATTAGCTGTTCACCAAGATAAGAAAATCAAAACTAAATGGGGTGCACAATCAATGCATGGATAATGTCAAGTGTGAATTTAGGGTTCATTGAGCTGGTAGAGATTATTTTAATGTGTATGCAAATCACACTGCCATTTTCCCCCAGTGTTTTCAAATAACCTAAAACCCAGAGTGCTTAAAAAAAAGTAAAAGAAAACCCTCACCTGCACTTGAATTCTATTGTCAACTCGCTGTCAACTTTTGCTTTAATATATTACATTAATACCTCACATTATTACATAGATGAAACCAAATTACACTAACTTAGTTGCTTACAACCTCAAACCTTACTCCCAGAACACATTCCAATAAATTTATTCTGTAAAAACAATACATTTTTTTGATTTTGATTTTTTTTTTTTTTACAGTAAACTTTCAACTACAAACCTCGAATACGCAAAAGATGTTCCAAGGACAAGCAGAACAGGATTGATAAAACCCAAACTGACTAAATGTGTTCTCACAATATAAGCTGGCATAAAAATAAATAAAATTCTCTATTATCACAATAGCAACAATAATGTACACATAATAATGGTTGTGGAATGAATACTAACTATTCTAACTCTAGTTCCAAAACAAAAGTTCATTTTAAAAGTTTATATTTAAAAGTCAATGCTTTGTCTGGTTTCCCATAGGGCTGCTGCTGATTATAGCTTTAAAATGTAAAGAACCCACCTTGAGTTAGTAGCTCAAATTGTATTGGCATTGGGAAAAAATAAATCATTGCCTTCATTTTGGAGTAACACAAAAAGACTCACTAACTTCATGTATAGAAACTGAGTTTGTGTACATAACAACATGAGTTTTGAGAAGTATAAGCTCTCAACTAGCTATTTCTAATACGGAATAGGTTATTTTACAATACGGTTAAACTTTACACATACATGGCCTCAAAACTGAAGGACAATTTTCATTTCATCTTCAATATACCAACATTATGCATCTAGGAATTAATTCCTGGGTTGGTTCTGTCACAGAGAGGAAATCCCATCCTTAAGCACTGAGTGATGATTTAAAAAGGACAATTTATATTGAACTGTTTGGCGATGGTGGGGTAAAGGCAGGAGTACGATAAGCATAACTGCCTTAATAAAAGGATCCTAGACGTGTAAGTCTGTGCAAAAATCTTCATCATCCTTAGTGGTTAAGGGCAACTTCATGCAACCAAATAATATTAAATCAATAACCTTAAAAAAGGCTAAAATGTCTTTTTTTTTCCCTAAACACAACAGAGAGGAATGTGAATAATGTACATACAAACTGGGGTCTGCCAATGACAACAATGACTATATGTTGGTTCATATCAAATCCAAGAATATTAGACAACCAGACGTATAACCTTCTTGTGGTTTCTCTTAATATGCAGCATTCTTTATGGTAGTTAAGTCTGTAAAAAAAGAAAGAAAACAAACCTTTAGATGACTTAGGATCCTGACAGTGAGAGCTATCCACACCTAGCTAGTATATAACTGGATGTTTTTGAGATTTAAAGCTGCACTGTAGCACTAACAAGAACAGCTTCTGAAGATTTGCTGGTGGATTCGAACTGTTAACCTTTTGGTTAGCAGCCAAGCTCTTAACTGCTGCACCACCATGGCTCCTGCTTTATACATAACAGTGCAAAAAGTTAAAGGAACTACTAGGGCACTTTTAGTATTACCATTAAAAGAAAAGAAAAAAAGAGTAAACGTCGTCTACTGTCTGGCAGAACACAGACTACAGTAGCATGTACTGTGTGCAACTCTGTCGCTGTGATCCATAAAGTCAGTGGAGAAACTGAGGTAATCCATTTTTGTGGCAACTGTGGTGTCAGAATGGTAAGCTGCTTAAAATTTAAAAAGCACTTGGAGTGTAGACAAATTACTCTGCATAATACTTCAATTACTTGTGATACATGGCTCAAAGAAGGTCAGGAGTTAACAAAATCAAGATGTATAAAATCTGTTTTCCTGCTTTTGAAAATATTAATGAAAGACAAGCTCAAATTTCTCATATAATTTTATGGCATCCAGAGAAAAACGTGAAATAAAATATTTCTGTCTCATAAAAGAATTACTTTCCAATTTGGGTTCCACTTTAAATCGTATCAGGTTACATCTCCCCAAAAGGATGCTATTTTTGTTTTCTTCATCATTAACCCAAGTATATTAAACCCCCCTCATAATGCTCTCATGGGATGAATGAACTTGGGCCCCAAGTATTTTTTCTAAAGACAGCCTGCTTCAGCTCTTCACTAAGTGAATGAACTTGTTTGTAAGCACACGTGTGCACACCCATAGGTATGTTCTTACTTATACAGCCAATACCTACACGGTACTATAAATAATACTGTATATGAGTAATTGCGGAAACCCTGGTGGTGTAGCAGTTAAGAGTTCGGCTGCCAACCAAAAGGTCAGCAGTTTGAATCCACCAGGTGCTCCTTGGAAACTCTGGGGCAGTTCTACTCTGTCCTATAGGGTCACTATGAGTCGGAACCAACAAATGGCAATGGGTTTGGTTTGGTTTTTGGTATGAGTAACTGCAGGACTTTCAAAGGAGAAAAAGTGACCAAATATACCATCCCCTCAGGATAGCAGAAATACGTTTCTCCACCTTCTCTGTCCCTACCAAAATGAGGAAGCCAATCTTAAAAAAAAGGTCAAATTTAAAATCTGTGATCTTGCAGAGTACAGTGCCTGCTGACTCCTAATATTTATTTATAAATAAAAGCACTAGATACATAAGACTATACTCACAGATACTTTGGAGGATCTTCCTCCCTTGTGAAAAGGGGTTAATACCCATTAAAACAATGAAAAATTATTAAGCAAACAAAGAAATCTCCTTTAACAATATCTTTTTGTTTATATTATTGTGAAAGGCAATAAATTCTGTTTACATTGGTAGGAAATTCATAGTAACAACTACTCAACCCATCATGAAGAATATTTTGGAACAGATGGTCCCACAGCAGCCACAGAGTATCACTAATGTTCCAAAGTGAAGGCGGCACTAGAATGCAACCGCAGCTTTAAGAACATGCTTATTTCTAAACAAGGCAATGTCAAGCATACATTTGTAAAAGTAAATTACAAAATCTGAGTGTTTTTTTGTTTCCCTTTTTTCTGTACTTCTCATACCTTAACCACTCTATCTGCACCTGTATATACAAAACTACTATCTTGCTAATTCATGATGGCATATGTTCTGGACATGGTGCTCTGAGTGTCTGCCAGACCTCAAGTCCCCTTTGAGTAAGCAGTGGTTGCCATGCTCTGTAACATGCCACCCTATGCTGGATGCTGGTTAGCTAATCCAATCAGATTCTCTCTTCAGGACCAATGAGATACTGTAGGGTGATACCAAAAAGGCAATCAGTGCAAGACAGGAGGCAGTAAAAGTCACAAGAATTTTTTCACTGAACACCATCTTATATTTGAAAGAATGATGACAGTAAACTACGGCTATTCAGACTTGGGTATTTGGCACTTTCTAAAAAATACACAATGTGAGCCTATTACTTCAAGGAAAATAGCTGGTAGTATTTGTTGCCAATGATAAAAGTTGAGCTTTTAAGAAAAAAATTAGTATTTTGGAAAACATGAATCCTCTAAGATTGAGAGCTTCCCAATACTCAAAGACTCTTCTGATGAGACAGGTGGTGATATTAACAACTGTGACTTAAAAGATAAATATTTTATTTTGAAATCGGTTAACCTGTGGAAGACATGAATAACTCTGAGCCAATGTTTTCCAAATGATCAATACATGATATCAAATCATGCGAAGAGCTGAATTATTCAGTTTCAGAAGGATCAAAGGATTTTAACATAACAGAGTATGAAAAGTTCAGATTTCACATTGCAATTAATCTTTAAGAAACTACCACTTACGGAACTGGTGTAATATCAAAGAAGAATACCCACAATTAACTGGAAAGACTACTAAAATACTTGTATCTCCATTTTCCAACTACATATCTGTGTGAGGCCAGGTATTTTTCATATACTTTAACCAAAATAACATACTGTAATAAACTGAATGCATAAGCAGATAAGAGAATTCAGCTGTCTTCTATTAAAGCAAACATTAAAGAGATTTGCAAAAAGGTAAAACAATGTCGCTCTTAAATTTTTTCAAAGTTATTTTTCATAAAAATGTATTATTTATGTTATATAGTGGGTTTATTATTATTGTTTTAAAACGAATTAGTATTTTCAAAATTTGTTTTAATTTCTAATTAAGTGAATATCGGTATCTCTAACATATATAAACAAAAGCTTTTTGGGGCCCTCAATAATTTTCAAGAATATGAAGGGATACTAAGACCAAAAAGTTTGATGAACTGCTGGCTCAGAATAAATGACAGGAAATGCTGAGATGAGGCTGGAAAGAGAAAATGGAGCCAGACTGTGAAGAGCATTATAAGCTGGAATAGGGAGCCTGGACTTCATATTGAGGGCAATGGGGAGACCTAAGGAAGCAGCACTATAGTGCAGAACGAGCAACAGGCT